GTTTACGAGAGGTCAAACAATAGCCTGAGGGTGCCAAGTAGGCTTCGCAAGGTCGCGAACCGGCCAAATTTGGCCGGTTCGTCAAGTAGCCTCTTTGCCAGATGGTAATGTAATTACACGCAATCCGATGGCGTTTATACTACACACATAACTTTGGCGGGCTGAGAATGCGGATATTGGTGTGTTGTATAAACGGGTCCTTAGTCTGATGTTTTGTGGGTTTCCTTGGTGTATTTCACACCAAAGAAATCCAGTCTATTTAATCCAGTTCATGGACACCTTTTTGATACCTAATCCTAATTTCTATAAACATCATAACTTAAATGATCAAAAAAATGTAACATAATTTATTTAATGAATATACAACATTAAAAGTTTTGTGTACTCAAGGGACAATTTGCTTCTTTATTTTTTTCGATGTCTCTTAACTTTTGAATGTCTTTTTTAAATTTGGGTCTTTTATAATTTTTTACAGTGATTCTTAATATCTTTTTAACATTGACTATTTTAATGTACTGTGTTGTATATATTTTGTGTTTTACTTAATATTTTAATATTTGTTAAATAGTACTTGGCAATGTGTATATTCAAACACAAAATTCCCATTTTAATATGCATGCAAGTTAATAAATGAATCTCAAATCTTGTCCCTGTTACTTTACATTGGTTGAATAAATGTCTTTGAGTTAAGGATTTAACTTTTTTTCATACAATCTTATCATTCTTGTGTTAAGGAAAAAGGCAAATATGAGATTTTGTCTGGCATGATGAAGACAGCTGATGACATGATTGAAATTTACTCTGACTTGATCACTCGTTATTCACTGATTGTTGGTGTCATTGACCCTCTGAGGAAACAGGTAATCTGCCTTACAACACATATTGGTAGTGGAGTATATCATGCTGGTTTGTTTAAAATTTAACATATCCTAGTTTTTAAAAATATCAAATAAAATTGCAAATATTTCCTTCAACAGGATGCTGATGCATGGCAGAAACTAATAGAGAGAATTAGTGAGAAATGCTTTTTGATTGGTGATCATGTCTACCCATGTGCCGAGAGGCTTGTCAAGGAAGGATTTGGAGGATTGCCACCTAGTGCTACTGTTCTCAAACTCCAACAACAAACCACCATCACTGATGTTATAAACACTACAAAATATTTAAAAGGTTTGGTAATGAAATTCTAATTTCTTAATGTGTTATTGAATGAAATAGAAATGGAGTTTTTGTCCATTGAAGCCATGATTAAAGGAATAATAATATCTTATGTTAGATCAAATCATTATGACTGAGTTTAGTCAGGGATCAAGAATACAAACAGTAAAACTTTGGTAATTGTATATATAATTCACTCAGAATTGTTGATACATTTGAGTAAAAGATACGATGAAGCAAATTTTGTATAATTATTTATTGCCGATTGATTTATTGTTACAGATAGTCAGACAGAATACGTTTTATCGACTGTACAAGGTGACACTGAAGATGACTTCATAGCTGACTTGGTAAGAGTATTCTATAAATACTTAGTCAAGCTTTACTATTGATTTTGCCTTTTGTATTTTTATTATTTGTTTCAGTCACACAGCAGATCTTTAGCTCAAAAATATTACAATAAGGACAAGAAAAATAAAATTATCATTATTATTATTAGTAGTAGTTGTAACTATGCAGTAATTTATATGCTGATTATATAATTAGTTATAGTATTAGTGTTTGATTATTATTATACTTTATATTAATTTCTTTCCTATATTTGTTAAAAGGCTGTGGGAATCGGAGCAAAGTTTGTCAAGTTTGGTGGCCTGTCAAGAGGAGAACGAATTGCCAAGTACAACAGACTGCTTCAGATAGAAAATCAGTTGTCATCGAAGAACCTATCAATGCCTTATGATGCCCTCAATATCCCCAACATCCTCCCACCTCCCCCAGAAGAGGATGAGACCAACACACAAGAGCCTGTTGCAGTATCATAAGCAGCAGAAAGATCTTTATAATGTGATCGACATTAGTGCGCCTCAGAACGAACAATATGGCATAGCAAGGCTTGTGTGCACTGTGGTGTCGCTTACTCTGCCCCTCCAAGAATTCCATAAATAAATTGGCTCATGTTGAAGTATTAGCATGCATCAGGCTGTTACAAACATAAAGAGCTAGTGCATTTGACAGATATGTGGATACAGTATTAACATTAACATTTACATGTATTAGCATGCATCAGGCTGTTACAAACATAAAGAGCTAGTGCATTTGACAGATATGTGGATACAGTATTAACATTATCATTTACATGTATTAGCATGCATCAGGCTGTTACAAACATAAAGAGCTAGTGCATTTGACAGATATGTGGATACAGTATTAACAACCGCCAATAATGGTTACAAAAAATGGAAATTTTATTAAAATATTTAATTTTTATTGTGCCCTCTGCATCTTATAAAAATTAAGTTTGCAAAACAAGGTAGAGTATAAAAAAAAGTCTTGTCCTATAATATAGAGTCAAATATACTTTTTTTATATTTACAGATTTGCTTCTTTTCATTAATTCCTAAGAACACCCCTTTAAAGATGACATCATAATCTTTGAATACTAATTTTCATTTTTTTTTGCCCAACAAATGTATAAAATATTATGATGTAAATACTGTACTATGTTGTATGAAATTTTTCAAAAGGAAGAATTGTAAAATAGACTGTTGGTTTACAGTAAAATGTTTCAACTAGTTTATTTGTGTTCTACTCTGAAACACTCCACACCACACTCACCAAACAAACACAAGTTCTGCAGATGACATCCACTATTTATAATAGTGTAACAAAACATTTCATTACTTCTTTAACTTTCAATTTTCTGACTTATAATGCCTCTTTCACTCGTTGATATTGTTTGTTTGTTTTGTTTTATTGCTTTTCCACGCAATACAAAATAACCACTAAAATAAAACAATTGTTAAACCTGAGTACATAAATGATAGTTACAAAATTGTGTGGAAGGCGACAAAAATAAGTCATGGCTGCATAAAGATCAGAACAATGTAAAAAGTTTGGGAAAAATTAATCATATGTAGGCCTAGGCCTATATCAATCTAAAGAAGCAAAATTATTTATAAAGTTAAAAGAAACCGATAAATAGTAATAGACATTTCCACTAATTAATAAACCTTTCCGCAAATCCCCTCCTTTTGGATGTAGCAACTAAAGTTCATGTTTGTGACTCTGTTCTGATTGGTGTTGGAAAGGAATGCTGTAGCTTCCCATCAGTGCATTAAGCATTCAACCTCATTGATTTATGTACGCACCCACCCACCGCCGATCAATCAGTCTACGCCCCTATCACCACTCACATAGGGCCCATCAACCCGAAGGAAAAAGTTCTCGCTTGAATTTCACAGTAAAATGATTGAATATAGTATTTGTTTTTGTTTGAGTTCACGTTCGTCGTTTTATCGCGCGAGGGATAGCGGATATCAGGAAAAACAATTACAAAATACCATCACCTACAAAATCAATTTAAAAAACCCCTACAAAATTAAAATACTGTATAACTTAGAATTACTCATTTAACAAAACTACAAAGTTTCAAGTCTTTCAATGAGATTTCAAATAATGATTGACAGACCTGTTACTATAATGCAGATTTGTTGCCAGAAATGTATGGTTTATGCGAAGACGCATAGACACACTGAGTTGACGAGAAAATGATTTTTCGATAAAAAAAACTAATACTTTCAAGTTGTGTTAAATGAATTACAAATGTTTTGATAGTACTCTATATCATTATTCAACATGAAACTATTGATAACTCACGTAGCTATTACACAAGTAAACTGACGCACATGCCACACTTTGTTTTCATGATCTGAAGAGATTATGCCACCCTTAAATTTTGTCATAACAATTCATTATTATATAAAATGGGTTTAAGTTCAATATGAAGTATAACAGCTTCTACTTTCTCGTCATCCAACTTCGGAGGCACCGCTGATGCACAGTGAAGATATTAGCAAAGCTGCAGTTCTGTGAAGAATTCTGATTGGTCAGAAATAAGTTTCGAATCCGGTCGGGAAAAATCGCTGCACCAGGACGGACTGACTTGAATAGAGTACTACACCACTAAAAAGCGGAATAGAAGTTCGATTTCTTAAACGGAAGGGACCAGCACATGAACGTGAATAGATGTGAAATGCAGTAAAATGGCCGAAACGATCATAACAGATGTATCATAATATACAGAGATGCATACCATGCATCTGACATTTTCTGATTTATAGGACGATGTATTGCGAAAGTGCCTCTCGTTAATATATCACTTCAATGCCTTATGTTTGCAGTGCAAATAACCAATCTTCCGGGCCTATATTTTGTTTGTGGTGTTGTATTTTTCACTTAAAATCGTACAAGCAAAAATTAACGATTATTGTATTTTTGTATTTAGGTGTTAATATTTTTGTATTTTAAGTGTTTGCTGTATTGTAATTTAATTATTAATTGATTGATATGCTATATTTTATATACATTTTATATTTTTGTATTTAAGTGTGCCCCAGAACATCAGACATGTTCCGTAAGGGTCGCCCACTCAAAATATGGTTATAAATAAATAAATATCCCTTGGCAAAAGGCGTGGTATACATCCCTGTATTATTATATTTTTAGGTAAACATCAAAAATAAATAAAAGTTAAAATAGAAATGATTCAAGTACAAAACTAACACAGGTAATAATAAAGTAGGCCTAAGGAAAGTTAATCAATCCCATCAAACCTTTTATATTCTATACTGATATGGGACTGATATAGAGTTACAAATACAAATACTGCAACGAATAAACATTATTGCAATTTCAAATATTTTAATTGAAGTTGAACACAAAATTGATTAAGTTAAGGAAGATAAAATTAACTGAAGGGTATATTTTAAACATTTTAAGCCATACTGCCACCTCAACAACTTAGGAAAAAATCAAAAATTAAAATAAAATGTTGGTTGCTCATTAAAAAAAACCCCACTTAATTACGTTATATCGCTTTTTGATACGTCATAGATAAAAAATAAACTCACAGTGATTTACAGACACTTTTACAATTTGCGCTCTGATGTTGTAAAACTAATGACGTAATATACAAATTCAGCATGTCATTTAAAATTATCGACTTTATACAGTATAATATTTGGCAGTAGGCCTATAGAATAATAATAATTTTGTCATAGCGTTCTTTTAGGCCTGTAGCCAACAAATTGGTGGCGCTACGCTACATAACATCAGCCGCTGCCAACATTCCGCAAATAGCAACGCGTTGAATGAACCAAAATCCAGTAGGCCTACGCAATGAATTAATATATAAATGAAGGTACTAAGTCGTAAACACAATTTCAGATTCGGGACTTCTGCCAAAGCAGTAACGTTTTTAATTTTCTTGATAAACAATCGAACGCAATACCTTACTATCTGTCTGTGCGCTTATTTGAGAACATCTAGCTGCTAGAGCTTAATTTTCTCCGAAGGATAAACGCAGATGAGGATACTAAATGACAAAGAAGAATAGAAATCAGTATCAAGATACACTCTGACTATAATATATTTATGTACTTGGATTCTATAAGCATACAGGTCTGTGCTAAAATGTAACCACTGGGAATTGAAGATGTCTCATACTTATCATCCTCAACATGCCCGTAGTCTTTTACTACGATTGAGAACATTTTGGGAATCACATGATTTCACTGATGTTACATTGGATATCTGCGGACGGATCGTAAATGGTCACAAGGATATCATATCAGCGGGTAGTCCGCTTATTCGACAGCATCTGCAAACGGCCGAAGTTGAGAGAAATAGTAGCCTACATTTAGGCGAGACTGAGGAACTGGATAGAAACTCCTGGCAGACAGGGAAATTTAAAGTCCAATTTGGAGATTTGATTTATATTGACTTGGTTAATTATATCTACACCCTTGATCTGACGATTATTGAACAAAACTATATGTCATTATGTAAATTGTGCTATTCTTCCGTGCCAGCTCTGGTGGGAAAGGGTGTCGAGGACTCGTGTAACGAATACTCATTAAGGAAACAAACCGATTTAGATGGATTGGCAAACTTTACCGATGTTGCCTCAGATTCATCAAAAGAACCCTACTTGATAGAGGTCAAACACTACGATAACACATTCCCTCTCAGTTTACTCAAAGAACTGAACGATCAGAGAGCAAATGAACTTTTTACAGATGTAATTATCCAAGTTGCGGGTGAAAACTTCCGTTGCCACCGTGTTATTCTTTCAGCTTGCAGTACCTTCTTTCGCGCTATGTTTTCTTCGAGCATGAGGGAATCAGGCGATAAGATCATTCGTCTTCACCAAATTGACTTGGAACATTTCCGCAACATTATCGAGTTCACGTACACGGGTAAATTACACATTGGTCTACATAACGCCCAGGAGCTCATCACCCTCGCGAGCTTTCTTCACTACATCCCAGTTATCGACGTTTGCTCAGAGTTTTTCAAGAAGCACATTGACAGAGAGAATTGCATTAGTTTTATGAATTTTGCTCAGTTTATCGGTTGCTACCAAATTTATAACGATACATTGAGATACGTCCATAAACATTTTCTTGATGTTTTCGAAAGCCAAGATTTCCTTGAAGTAAATGCATCGTCTCTTATTCGTATAATTGAGGATGACCATCTTAATATCAAAGACGAAGAGGTTGTCTTTGAAGCAGCGACAAAGTGGTTTGAAGCCAACGAAAGTGAACGAAATCGGTTTGGGGAAATCCTTAGCAAAGTCCGACTACCTTTGTTAGACAGAAGATATTTTTCTACATCTGTTGAACAGAATCCCCTGTTTGTTGATCATGAGGAATGCGTCAGGGTTATCAAGGATGCTAAAATGCTCCGAGATGCGCCTGAGAAGGTGAACATTGACGACCGGCTTCGATTGCGTTTCTCCATGACAACAGAAGTCATGATAATAATCGGAGGGTTTGATCGTGATCAGCAGTGGACACACGACGTCTGGTGTTGTAATCTTATTGATAACACATGGGACAGCTTGTCACCGTTTCCAGGTCGAAACCAACGGTTCGCTTGCGTTGCAATGGACAATGATGTCTATGTCATCGGTGGGCAGGTAGACTACCATGCGAATCTTTCAGAGACACTTGCTGATGTGTGGAAGTATGAATCGTGTACTGATACATGGAAGCAGATAGCTAGTCTGAATAAACCTCGACATAATCACGGTGCCGCTGTTTTAAACGGAAAGATATATGTAGTTGGTGGACGGAGTGGCTGGACTAGGAAGTCAAACGATGTTGAGCGTTTCGACCCGGCGTTGAATATTTGGACATACGTCAGTCGCATCAAAGGTAGCTTCCTTGAACGACCAGTGGTTACAACTGTCCAGGGAAAGCTTTTCGTAAACGGCTACTTTTTCCGGGATCCTGACATCATCCACTGCTATGACTCCGAGGATGATACATGGTCCGCTCTTTTTAACTTTGAACGTGTGCATGGGGAAGGAATCGAGACGGCCGTAGTCATTAACGACTTGATATTCTACCTCGTATCACGTGGTGATGAAAATGAATTGATTATTTTCAATCCGTTCACATCAGAGCGGATACGAGGATCTCCGGTTCCTGACGGACGGTATCTGTATTCTTATGGTACTACAGTGGTTAGAGGGAAACTCATTGTGTCGGGAGGGAGCAAACTCGAGAGTGCTGTCAATGTATCTGATATTAAGTGTTACGACCCACATCTGAATATTTGGAGTATGGCGGGATATATGCCACAACCCCTCACTGAGCATGGCTGTGTCTGTATCGAGAAATACATCCCAACGAAGTGAATTTTGAAAGGCGTTTTAAGGATGTGAATTTGATAGTAAATGATACAGTAGGCCTATTTGGATTTTGAACAAACTATCACCTATTTCGTCTGTTAATGTCTAGATGCTTTCTACTGTGTTTATGTTTGCCTCAGCCTTTCGAAACATTATACAGTACACTTGTCGGAATGTTACTTTTCATGTGCCTATCACCAAACATTCAAACTAAAGTAATATGAATTTTTTAATTGACAATAGTCATTGTAATAGCTTCAGTGCTGGGGTCTGGATTTGTCCGACGAGGATCCGTCTCAGAGGAGACATCGGACGAGACGGCCGACTTCCCCGACGATAGCATGGGCAGGGCCAGTGCAGCCCAGAACCCCTCAAAACTTTCTTCATGTGTGCGGTGTACACGAAATTGTGACAATATATTATACGGTATCTATAGTCAAAAGTTCTACTGTTGCTTTAATTACTGTGCAATAAAATAGGCCGGTACGGCTTATCACATTATCATTTTTATTTGAGAATGTTTCTTTTCAAAATAATGTTTATTCATCTAAATGTTGTAATGAAATAATTTAAAAAAATGAAGTTAACAATTAAAATATGTAACTCATTTATTTCGTTCTTTTTCATATAACAAACCTATGTAAACAAAATACGGTAGCATCATAGCATTTATCATTCAATAGTCCCATTCATTAGTACTACCATTTCAATTTTCTTAAATATTCATTAGCAGGCATTTTGTCTACACATAAATACCCAAAGCAAGATTTATCAGAGTATCCAATAAAGTTGTTTGGTAAAATGCGGTAAGGCTGCTCATGACTGACGCTGAGCGTTTTGAACTGCGGTGATGGACCTTTCCTTTCATTCGACCTTATTTCTACATCTCCTGTATACTACTAATTTTAAAGTACATTTCTATGCATAGTACTATTTTTTTTATAGGAATAGAAATGACAATTGAATGAGTTACCCGACTAAAACTTAGCGTTTTTAGATAATACCACCGTCAATATAGTATTTACCATTTTATACAGTACTATTTGATAGGAATAGAACTCAACATTGAATGAGTTTGCCAGAGTGCAGCTTGGAGTTGTTAGATAATACTGTATATATACTGTCTCTTATACACATCTAGATGTGTATAAGAGACAGCATCAAATAGTTGTTAGATAATCACCGTCAATATAGTATTTACCATTTACATACAGTACTATTTGATAGAAATAGAAATTACTATATTATTTAACTTAGAGTCGTTAAATAATGCCACCGTCAATATAGTATTTACCATTTATATATACAGTAATATTTGATAGAAATGACCATTGAATAAGTTGTCGGAATGAGAGTTGTTAGATAATACCACTGTCAATACATAGTATTGTTTAGCATTTCAGCGAATAAAGCCGATCAACATACTACCGGTACTTTAATCCATAGAGCAAAGAAGTTTTGCTCAATGTTTAATCTAACATTCTGGTAAAACTCTATCAAACAAAGACAAAGAGGTAACAATTTCGTTCATAAATAACTTATAAAAAAACTACAAAATATTAATATAAACTATAACATATTTTTAAAATCCTCAACAGGTCTCTACTATCAATGTGAAGTCCTAAAATATTAGACCAAAAACACAAATGCAACTTTAACTTTTTGTTTACTATAAATAGGGCCTACTATGTACATGTGAGTGAAGATTTTCGCAACAACAGTCACATCTCACTCATCCAATCACAAATAAGCTTCGGGACACCAATCCCATCGCATGTAGCAAATCCAGGGACGAGTCCCTGGTTCAACGAAGAAAATTTGTCCATATATGGTCAAATTTAAGCCTCTTTATGTCAATACAATTTGAGTACGAATCACACTTCATGTGTTCGATCTCGGTACAAATATAAGTTATTATATATTATGTTACATGGACCTTAATAACGTTAACTTTCTACTTATAACCTCTGAATTCAATATGAAACAATTTAAAGGGCAAAACAACTACAAATATTGGTGAGAAACTATAATGCACCCGAATGATGTCGTTCGATATTCTAGTTTCATCTTCTTGATGACGAGCAGCCTCTATTGGGTGTCGACTAACAAAAAGTTACAAGTTGGCTCCTTTTTAGAATGTACATAAGCCTTTTGTGAACGAGCAGATATAATTTCTGGGCCGTATTACCTATGGTATGTCGACATCCAGAGCTGTCCGCCCTATGATGACTCTCCGTCCTATGATGACTACGGTAAGTATCGTCAACGAAACACCATGCATTACAATAGTAATCAAGCTACGTTAATGAATGATAACATTACTTCTAGATATTTGACAGTGACAATGCATCGACACTTCTCAATGAAAATTAACTACATTTAGTGACACTTTAGTCACGTGAGTTGTATATTAAATTTTAAGGCACATTTAACAAGGTGAGACGCATTCACAGAATGTTTAGTGGTTTTCACTATTTGCTGCACAAGAAATGACAATTAAACGACATGCTAGGTACGGACATTTTAATATCTCTGAAACCTGTAGATTTGAGAAGTTCCATGAGCTTCTGTCTGCCGTACATATTTCCAAATCCTTGGCCATTTTCGAAGGCTAGAGATACGGTCATACAATGCATCATACTGTTGGTATAGAAGGTGGATGCAAACGGCATATTGATGTTCTGCGCAATATCTGAGTGCGCATTGACTTCCATGATCGTCATGCGTCCGTTGTTGCTAAGGTTTTTGTACACAAGGTCAAGCACGTCTTTAGGTTGAGCCATGTCGTGTATCGAGTCCCACCCCAACACGTAGCCGAACTTGCCAGTCCATTTTTCGGGCATTTCCATAGCATCCATCGTTACAAATGTTACATTGGTTAACTTCTTCTCCTTCACTACATTCTTTGCTGTGTCGATGGCGTCTGTGCTTATATCAATCCCGATGAATGTACTGTTCGGAAAACGTTCACCAAGAAGAATGGACGCACCCCCACTTCCGCAACCAAGGTCGAGAACGTCTATTCCATTCTCTGTTAAAAAAAATATATTTGACTGAATAAAGAAGCTTATTGGCCTAATGAAAAACATGACTTTGATGAGGACGATTATTATTATTATTATTATTATTATTGAATAATAATAATAATAATAATAATACAGTAATAGTTTGCAATAACAATAGTAATAACAAAGACTAAAACAATGTTGTCGTTCATGACAGGACCTGAAGTAGGCGTTCAAAAAAGGAGTCAAGGACTGGAACTATCGATACAAACATTAGGGCCTACACATGCTTCTACCCGCCTTTCCCTCGTATATTTCAACTTATCAGCAATAATTATGTGCAGAATTTCTAAAGCATTTTCTTTATTCATCTACTAATATTAAGGGTGTACTAATATTAAGGGTGTACTAATATTAAGGGTGTACCGTAAGGAACTGTATCTCACTATAGCTGAAAAGGGGAAAAAAGAAATGGAAAAAAGAGTAAAAGGTAAGTAAGGAAATACGACTAAGGAAATAAATATTTAACAATTATTTAAAAAAAGAATTAAATAAAATTCTGTATTTTAATATTATTTATTTGTTAACATTATATAAAATTATCTTTTATTGTTGTTATTCATTATTGTTACTCATTATTTTTGTTAGGTGAAACTTTTAATAATTTTTACCACACCATGCTGTAAAGCGCATAGAGGTATTTTACATTATGCGCTATATAAATTATTATTATTATTATTATTAGGCCTATACCAATTGTGACAATAACACGTTATTGTATCCGTATCGTGATTTAAAAACACGAAAGTGACTCTGTGAAAGCATATCTAAACACAATTTTGTAATCGTGGCTGGTCTTTGCTGTGTTCGTAATTGATTTTAAAAATAAGAAGGACCGTATACCTAGCATTTCTTGTACTTCTGGTATCGATGGAATGAACTGGGAAATTAAATGTCGGTTCCACCAAGCGCTTGAGCACGCGTTCATAAATTTCTGAAACCCACAGTAATGCTCGTACGGAACACCTTCATTAAATTGAAAAAAAAAACAAAAAAACAATCATTCTGTTATTCATTTCATATGATTTAGCAATAATTACATTAAGAACTCCTTAACGTTAACATTCAAGGGTGTATACCGACCAAAATATTCTCAGGTTATTTGGAGCTGTGATTGTTACTTGTAAGAGGGTCTATTTTCTCAAAATATCAACGATCATAATCAATCAACCGACCGACCGATCGATCGATCGATCGATCGATCAATCAATCAATCAATCAATCAATCAATCAATCAGTCAATCTAACTATCGTTTAGGGAATGCCGGATATTTAGGGTGTGCCGGTTTTCTTAATGTTCAGTTCGTGAAAACAGCCAGTTTTTAACATGAATATTGAATCAATCGCGTTTACTCACCTCGTGGTCCATCTTTCTTGAAACATTTGAGAACTTTATCGAAAACTTTACATTGCATCGGAAGTGCTGCTGCCAGAAGTGTCATTTCTTCCCCGAATCCACCGGTTCGAAGGAATGCCGCGCGGTGTGGCGGCAGTGAAAACCGGGTAGAGGTCTCGTCTACCTCTACGATTTGACCCGTTACCATTGCTCCGAGCCATTCACGAATATATCTGGAAATAACAGAGAGATAGAGAAAAAAATTCAGCGATATGTCTAGAGAAATCCAGCGGCCTATGTCAGAAAAAAATAGTCGTTCAGATATACAGTTCTCGAGCCCTTCAGTTAAAGACCCTCCAATTAAAGACCATCCACAATTAAATATCCCATTTCTGAGGCCACGATTGAATGTTTATCATCATTCATTAGTTGTTCCCGCCAAATAAAGATTCCTTCTATTAGTGACCAAAGACTGGTCCAATGAAAATTTTCCCTCCATTTACATTAAATATCACTATAAAATATATAGTGATGTTAATGCGTTTTTTTCTATAATAAATTGTGCTACATGACTTACACATAGAAATATTAGCAAAGGCACTGTTTTGTGTACGTGTTCTGTGTATCGAATAACGAATAAGTTGATGTTTGGCTAAATTTTATTAAAGATAAATAACAGCATGCAGTAGCTATACATTTATTGTATTATTTTTGAATTTCCATCTAAATAGAGAAACTCTAAAGACCACTTAGTGCCCAGGAGGCCCAAGTCTTCTGCAGATTCGCGGAAGGGAGTCTGGAAATAAATGGACTTGAAGACCTCCCCGCGAGCAAGCACGATTTTCCTGAAATAAACCAAATTCATGATATTCATGTTTTTACGAGTTTTTAGTGCTGTATTATCAATAAGTGTTAGTGGAGTTGAAGTTTATGGTTTTCTCATCAAAATGATATTTCGAAGAACGAGTGCATGACTTAGTGTCTGGCTACCGAGAAACGGTGTACTAATCAATAACAGCATACAGTAACTCTACATCCATTCTAACAACACTTGGCATAAAACAATCTAACATTTACTATATCATTCTTAATTTTACAAGGATACAAGGATACTTTATAATAATAATAATAATAATAACAATAACAATAATAATAATAATAATAACAATAATAATAATAATTATTATTATTTTTCTAATCTTCCACTAAACACAGGTATTTAAAAACCACTTTTAGTGCCGGAGCTTAACAAGAGGAAATTCAAATTAGAGACCAAAATCTACTACAAGAACCACTGAAATCCCGGTTCCGAAAATGGTGTTTAATTGAGACAACTGTAAGGGCATACAGTAGTTATTGTATTCTACTTGCATCATTACTCTCGCCAGCTTGAAGAAGACAAGCTATCACCAATTATCTCATTTGTAGACGATTTATGTACAGTATTTTATTCATGTGTTTGAATTGCCCTTTAAGAAATCAACAGGCCCTTACCTAAATTATGGCGTACCAATGTGGGACATTTGGTTACTTTCAGTGTTAAACCGGTATACGGTGTTGAATGTGTCACAAATTTATTCAAGTTCAGGAGTAAATTGAGGAAACTGTACTCATGGTTAAAATAGGAAATTATTGTTGACATATGGAAATGAGAGAAATCGTTTTCTACTAAAAAAAAAATGACTTCTAGCCCACGACTTTGTACGAGAGTATTAACTTCCCTAAACAAATCCAGTATGGCGGTTGTCTATGGAGTATACAAATCATAGAAAAGAAATGTATATTCCTGCTGATTGGCTGAGTGGGGCATTATGGGTGTCTATCAAGGAAATATACCGTACATTTAAACATATTTCTGACACTATTCAAATCTTGTGTGAAAAAGGAACCCTCATAATGCATTTCAAACAATTCAACTGGGTCGTATTTGTGTGTGTTATTTTTAATTTGCTTTTTTTACCTTTTTGAGTAGAAGCCAACAAATAACCAAACGTAATTCTTTTTTCCGGCGGGTATTTTGGGTGGTTCTAAGATATTAATCTAGATTACAATACAATCACTTGTATCGCTGATATTGCCTTTCTATTGAGTTGTTGTGTGTGTTAATCCGTCTAGAAACCTGTACAATAATATCCATTGGCAATGTGATACCGTAGATGTTTAAAGTGGCATTTTTACAAGTTCACGCGTCGCTTAAAGTGTGGCGTACATGTAGAACTCCATTCTAACTGGCTAGCTAAGTGCGCCGCGCGATGTAAATGAAGTTACGTGAAACCACAACCAATCAAAGACACGTGACTCAGGATGTTTACCTTTCAACAAATAGGCCTATATGAATGTGTGCTTGAAATGTATTGTGACGTCAAATGAGAATGGTACTTTAAGCCGAGATAGGCCAATTGAAAACCAGAATCTGATAATTTAAATCTCGCAAAATGTATTATTGTCCTGCCTGCCGGATGTGTATTTTTCTCTCGAACAGCTTAATAGACATCCAATTTGTAAGGTATTTGTGGCCTTAAACTTGACATAAATTCTTAAGAACCTGAAATTCTAGAGAAAACAAATTTTTAATACTTGTTTAAAACTGTTTGTTGTTGCCTCTGGCTATAGGCCTAAATGATTTAACCGATAACCACGACTCGTTAGACTGTATAAGGTGATTTTTATCTAACTAAAAATATAATCACTCATTAAAAATACTTCTATAAATAGGACACAATATGATAAAGATTAAATGTCAACAAGTTGCTCTTGTGCTACGAACTACATATTTGGGTTAGGCCTAGGCCTATACTAAGTTTTTTTTTTTTGCGTGGCTGTTTTCGTGCTTGTCACAACTTATGTATTAAATGCCTACAAATATTATTGGCATAATGAAAATCAAGCACATGTCCGTGTAGCATTTATAGACCTCGTTTTAACATTGAGCATCTTTTGATGATTTATTTGTGATATTAATAAGCGTGAGGCCTAAGTCGTATTGGCAGAAAGCCAGCTTCCGCCAATTTCACATCAATTAATCTAAATGGAATGTACTAATTATACGTCAATATTTATTTTGTAATGATGCAACTTATTGTATTTACAGGTGTGCTATTCGGACAGATGTGATGATGAAAGTTATTTTGTTTCTGGCAAACACGCATTGTGAAACTTACGAAATATTAAACAACCTCTAATTTCAAATTCTTACAATTGTTTGATTCCAAATGAAAATAGTTTAAGACTGATAATTAGCAAATGAGGTGTATTAAATAAGCGTAACAATTTCAAATCAAAATTGTTAGATTCAGGAGTTCAGAATTGCCTATAGCTACACGAACAATTACAACCACCACACCATCTATGTTGACTGCTGATTGGTCAAATATAGTTTGGTTTGAATTTCCACTTGGATAGGTCATATGCGCTTGGTATACGAGATGCTGTGAGAGTTCTGAGTGTCTGTTGTGTTATTAGGTAATGGTGATGAAATAAGAGTACAATTGTATTTGTAGATGATTCATTACGTTTGTATTATTTTTAATTTTAAATTTATCTGATTCACGTAAATATGTGAGGCGTGATCGATTATAAATTGTACGGACTTGGTTAATGCGTTCGATGATCATGATGACGTTGATGGTGGTAACAATTGGTAATGATTGTATCAATCTATATGGTGATGATTATATAACAACCACTACTTCTACTATTACTACCGCTCCTGCTGGTACTACTACTACTACTATCTACTACTACAAAAACTATTTGTGGCAGTAGTACCAGCGTAGCTCAGTCGGCTAAACAGTGTGTAAAATAAATTAATAACAAGGACAATGTAATACAATAATGTAAGAAATAACAGCAACTAGATAATAAAAATTATAATAAATAACAATAGTTGAAGATACTACTACTACTACTACTACTAATAATAATAATAATGAAATAATAATAATAATAATAATAATAATAATAATAATAATAATAATAATAATAATAATAGTTAAGTTGTGTGATGAGATCACAATAAGCCATTAAGGTTCTAAGTCTGTGTCTCCAATTAACTAACTTAAAGCTAAGTGACATTGATTAAGAAAGAATGCTTAAAATAAATTCATCAATAAAGTTAAATTAATTACAAGTTGAGTGTAATATTTATAATATAAGTAATGATAATAATAAAATAATTGTATTCGTGTTTATAATAAAAGTAATACTAATAATAATAATATTAATAATTAATAACAGTGATACTAATAACAAAAAATAATTGCCCTAACATTAATAATAATATGACTAAAAACATCAGGAATAATAATAATAATAATAATAATAATAGTAATAATAATAATAATAATAATAATAATAATAATAATAATAATAATAATAAAGCGTCAAAAGACAACAATAAAAATTTGCACAAATTACGTTGTGTGAGGACACATTAAGCCATTAATATTTTAAGATTGTGCCTCCAATTGACAACAAAGAAAATGATATTAATAGAGACATTAAACTTCAATGCATTCAAACAGGCAAAGTAGAAAAGAAGGGAATTTAAATAGAAAAACAAAATAAAAATTGATTTAAAAAATTATTTAAATTAAATGAATGGAAAACTTCATGTGAACAATACATAAATAAAAATAGTAATAATAATAAACGATAAACGATATGTGCAACAATGTACAGTATTAAATAATACATAAATAATAAAGAGACAAAAGGGAGCGATCTTATTACTACAACATGTAATTTTGTATTAGAATGTTCTTATATACATTTTTAAAAGAGATTATCTTAGCAGCTTCTTTAAGATCGTACACTCTTCGGAAAAGATTAGGGGATTGCCTTCCGATGTACTGCCCAGTCAGCACCAAAAGAACCCACGGAAATTATTACCGACATTTTTATATTTCTGTTTTTTACAATGCTTACATTTTTACTCGATCAGATTCTCGCCAATTGCTGTGGAAGTCAATTGTGAAGTTGCCGAGTAGGTAATATCTGTCGTTGTACAGCTAAGCATCACTGATAACGTCAATTTTAGATATAAAAATCATGAAATGCATTTCCTTTTAACATTTCCAACCTGTCAAACGTGAGAACAAGCAGCTTGCATATTTGGATTTCAACTATTATTACGGAAATTTGACGTCACCTTCGCCGAGAAGGGTGATAGAAAACACGCAATACGCTTTTTCACGGGTGTGTGCACGTGGATCCACTTTACGCGTGCATATATTCAATAAAGGTAAGACGTGATGAAGATATGCGATCCAATCACACAGAGATAAATTCGAACAAGTACGGCTGATCAAATTAATTTAATAGCAATTATTATTATTAATTAATTATTAGTAATACTCGGTGAGCTCATTCGATTTTAGTCAAACATCACATCAAAGTCATTTAAAGATACATGGATAAAACGATGATTGGCCATAGCCCACCGCACACCACGAGCAACGACTGTAGGAATGGTGCCATATAAATGGAATTATTGAATGATTGATTGAAATTATTGCCAATAGCGAATATAAGATAAGGCCTAATGTATAAGTATAAACGGTTGATCTAATCATCACATGTACAAGTCTAATACTTAATACGTGCATCATCATTCCTGATGATGACATAATTAATGTCGAAATATTGAATCCCGACACGATGGCGCATTTCGATACCTGGAGTATGTATTAGGCTATACTATCGTACGTGTATGTGTTACATAGCATCGTCATTAGTCGGTACATTTCAACAGACAAGCTTTCTACTATTTCAGTAAACCTATTTTTATGAATATCTAATCACCCGAACCACTAACATTCCTCATAAAAACTATTGTTAGCCTAGAAATACATTCCTATGGAGATCTGGTCGGATTTATCCCCTGTACATTCTGCCCCGATTAGCTTGAAACGGTGCCAATACCAGTTTACGATTACCCAAGAGCACTCGAGCAAACGTAAACAAACAAACCAATGAATTTCTATTTTGTAACTTGCATGTAGTGAATTTCAGTTTTGTTACAAATTTCAATTTCCATACCGAATGACAATCATTGGAATTCAGCGACAGGAAGTCCATGATCACGTGGAAAATACCAACACTGTCGACATAAAATAGGCCATAGAGAAAATAGAACACTGATTAAGATAACAAGAGTTACAAATTCTAGAGAAATTCAATATTAGAATATTGCTTACCCTGTAATTTATTATCTTTGACTTAAAAATTACAGCGAGAAACAAAAATTCCATACCAATCAACGTAGATGTTACTTTAAAAAAATACCGTTTATTACGGTAATTTTTTTGCAAAATCTATTATACCGGTATTGGCTGGTAATCAATTCGTAAAATGTAGTAAAACGTCTGTAAAAAATAGTTTTAATTTGTGTTTATTGAAAGTTGAACCATTCAAATGAGCAATTAATTTCTTTATTTATTTTTGAGGTTTATCCAATTTGCAGATCGCAGACGGTAAAAACTTGTCCTTGAAGTGCTAACAATCTACTGTGGTACTTTTCAATGTGCACCGAATTATTATGCAAGGTATCCTGTCCTGCTTATTGGTAGTCAACACCCCAGCATAAAAGTCACACGAGTGTAAGTTTTCTCTCACTCCATTGGAATAGGATGTGCATATGTTACTTTTTAATACTATAATTGTTTTCTATAAGTTAAGCCGAAAACAATCACCTGCTATTCCTTTTGACCGAATGATATAGGTTGGGTCCATTTTGGGTTGGGACACTGTCATTGTATGTGGGCTTGGTCGGTTGAGTTATGTATTGATTTATGAAATGATGGTAGCCCCCTAAAGAAATTGCATGGCAGGATTGTGGGAACCCCTGTATTTTTCTTGGGTGGCGTTGCTTATTTGCCTAGCATGGCAGGGGAGTTCCCTAGTTTTATTACAGTACCATAACATTGCTGCCATTTGCTGTCTCAATCAAAAGGGAGAAGAACCCCTGGTTATTGCTGGCTCATTTGGCACACCTTGTTTTCTTAATTATTCCTCCATGGTTTTACAAAGGGCGAGTTAGCGCCAAGGTGATAAAGCATTGAACTCGAGACCTGCCACCATTTTGCACTTCATCAAATGGACGGGAAGTTAAGCCGTTGGTTTTTTTGTATTTTATGATCACGTGTACACGAAGGATATATACTTTTCTTTGATATTATATATATATATATACTGTCTCTTATACACATCTAGATGTGTATAAGAGACAGATACTACTACTACTACTACTACTACTACTACTACTACTACTACTATATAGGCCCTATATGTATAAAGTGCCTATTAAAGCAAACAGAAACTGGCTTGTCACCGGCGCTGGAAGATGTTAGAAAGAAGTTGAACATTAAATTATTTCCATTGAAGTGTACAGTAGGGGAGACCTTGATTTATTTTGGGACAGAATTGTTCCCCTTTCAGTGCAATGCGTTAATGAGTAGGACGAAAATATGTAATGTCCTACAGTATAACTTATTTCCAACCGCAAACTTCCGTTATGTTGCTTGTATTTTATGTGTAAGAATTCTTATGGTTTAAAAGGCAAACTTACATTATTTGTACCGATAAACAGGACAATAATAAGGGTTTATCGAACGTTTCATAATTTTACAAAAATAAATCTGAATTGTTAAAATGAAATTCCCTATTTATGATACCGGATGACCGCTTAGAAGATAAAAGCAGCCTTTGTCATTAAAGCGGCCATATGCGACGACCCATTGTATTTTTGGCACGCAATAAAAAAAATATATCATCCTTTAATGTTTTTTATGAGCTTTGATTACATGTGATGCAGGCATTAGCCTAATTTTCACATAGAGGGCTATCCTCGCTAACTGACAGGCTGATAATAATGTAGTGCACTAATGTATATTGACAAATAGTGGGAGAACCCCTTTAAGCCTCGTAAATAGGTGGCTGTCTACAATAGTTGCTTAAGACACGATTAGTTAAAGGCTTACTGCACTCAATTGAACCCACTCCCACGTGAGATTTATGCTTGTTTATGTTCGTTTTCGCCGCATTTTAGTTGTAGTGAATTATAATAAGACAACCTAGAATACTTGATAGGTCTATGTGGCGTCCTTAAGGTGATTTAGACAGGGACGGGAATGGAAGTCAAACTTTTAAGGTGGGTCACTATTGAAAATGGGTAACGAAGACAACTGGGATTCAGATTTAGCTGCATTTTAGAATCACCAGAAAAGAAAAGAGTATTTTGAGTTGTTTATCTTTATGTGCAACAAGTACCGTAATAATACAAAATACTCTGCAGGAAAACCTAAAATCAAACAACTCAGGATGCAGAGGAATGCAATTCGGGAAGCAATATTCGGAGTGGCCCTCGAATCACCCTCCCTGTTTCAGCTCACTTCCCTGTTCGTTTATGCAGTTGACTTTAAAAAAAATAATACAATATATTGTGTTGTTGTATAGGCCTATATTGTACTAGGCCTATTTGATTAAATAATGCATCGAAAAAAGGAAAGTTATACAGTTCACCCTCCAATCCGAGACCACATTTGGGACCTGAAAATTTGGGGTGGTCTCGGGTTTGGTCTCCATTTAGAGGGTTAGATTTGTGTTAAAAGATTGAAGATTGTCATTTTCGTTCTTTGAAAATGTGGTCTCGAATTAGAGGAGTCTCGAATTGGAGGGTGCACTACAGTCATTTAGCAGACCTTTTAGAATGCATTGACGATCATTTACACCTTGCACCACCTGATGGAGGATGATGCCTGAAAACGCAAGTGTTATTTACACTAAAACCTTATTGCAACAGTACACATCAAATTCTTGAACCATTTCTAATTTCGAGACCCTTAATTCGAGACCGTTTTACCAAATAGCAATCTTTAATCTTTTAACACAACGCTAACCCTCTAATTTAGAGACCGAACCCCGAAACCCAACTTTTTAGGTCCGAAAGGTGGGCTTGAATTGGAAGGCAATCTGTACTATTTATATCATCGTCTTTTTCAATATAGCCTATATATACAACCCTCCATTTCGAGACCACCTTTGGACCTCAAAACTAAAAATGATCTGGGGGTTCGGTATTGCGCTTTAGCTTTGTGTCGAAAAGTTGAATAAGAGGTCTTAAATTGGAGGTCGAATTGTAGTCATTACTGCACATGTTCCAGAGACAAACGTCAATGGCAAGGCTGACAATTCATAAAAATTATATTTTTTTAACAAATAGGCCTATGTATTGTCCTACTACAGAAATGCCAAATTGAATTTCATTTTTCTCGACTTTATATCAGCATATGACATAGGGCCTAGGTCGATGCCTTCGTCAATTTAATACATTTGACGGCAAATTTACTTTATCAATGTAATTGCTAAGGTTTCTTTCTTTAATGTAATATCGATGTATTACAATGTTACAAAAAACTTACAAAATGCCACTTTCGGTGCAAATGTCTAGACATTGGCTGGGGTTTATGCTTCTCATAGCTAATGATAATATGTATAAACATCCATCCATGGATTTTGCCGTAAACTGTGGCCCAGACCTAAATAAACCTAATAATTGATATAGGTAGGCATAGGTCTGCCAGGGTATGCGATACCTTCTCGTTAACTCAGTGTAATTATAATCAATTCCATTTGACATTATTATAGTAGGACCTAGACCTATTTTTGAAATACGAAATACGAAGAACTTTATTGAAATCTCAAATCAAATTTAACAAGAGTAGCTTGAATTTGTACCGTAGATTGCCTACGTCGATTCACTGGATTTTAAAACTTACCGTATGGCTACATGTTAGACCTATGTTATTTTTTTGCCCTAGGCCTTCATCTAAACTTTTATGGTGGGCCTAGCCATAGGCCTATGCCAAATGGTTTTACCTGATAAAAAAAAGTGTTTACAAATTTTCGTTTAGGTTAGGTCTATGTCTAGTTCTATTATTATTAATATTATTATGCATATTGCATCCAATTTAAAAATTGTTAGGTAATCTTACCTTTCTTTCAGGCCCGTTACTTCAGCGATTTCTGTTGAAGTTTTAGGTTCCGTGAAGTTAGCAAGGGCATCAAACAGCCCTGTTTCTCTGCCCATTGCGATAGAAATTAACAAGAAACCAGAGTTAACCGTCTGACCCATTCGAAAACCAAATGTTTGAATGTTTTCTTTTTGCAGGATAGAAGGAGTTGGTCCAGAATTAGGATTTGGAATTGAAGGCACCGATGATAACTCGTTTTCCGCAACAGGCGGGCCATTGTCCATCGGTGGCACAGAAGCATGAGCCATGTTTAGTTTAAAAAGTTTTACTCGTCGCGATATGCCTTAGCCTAGGTAGAGAAACATAAAGTCAAACCACGTTTGTTGTATAGCCTAGCGGAGTCAAATATAATTGAACTGAGGAGTCTACCGAATTGCATGGTATTTATGAACTTGAGCTAACTTCAGTTTTCCGGTCGATTGGCGTTGAAACTTCCAAATTACTTGCCTGAGTTCAGTAACACTAAAACTTGATACACGTTTTAAACCACATCTATAATACAATTAATGATTGGTTAGATCATTTGATCACGTGTTATTATAATTGATGACGTTGCAGACTTCCGTATTTGCTTTATTAGTGTTCACTGAAGTTATGTCATCTCAATTCTTTGTTGGATCTTTAAACTAGGCCGATTTTATCGTAACTTTCCCCTGTAGCGAACGTTATATAAAGTGTTTATTAACGTGTGAAAAGTTTGAGACTTCCGCTGTCGGTGATTCAATTTCGACGAATGATGGTTGAAGAGTGGTAACATTCTCAAAGTCGTTGACCTTGGGCTGTTAGGCCTACCGTTAAGTTTTGCGAAGTGCTGATAGGATCATTTTTATCCAATGAATATAAAAGAATGAATATTAATGATAAATTGAACTATGACTGTTGAACAATATATTAACTTAAAAGGCGTAATACTATATTGATATCAATTGAAAATTCTAACCAGGAAATATTAAGTAGATTCTTTCATTGGCTGCTGATAGGCAACTTTAGGAAAGCCTACAAATAGTAATATAAAAATATATTATATTTATACCTCCATGGTTAAAGTACACGTTTTTGTTTAAATTAGAAATATTTTTAAAAAGACAATATTTATTTTTTCAGGGCTTTTTTTTTTTTTAGAATAGAGGATGCAGATGACGTAAAGCTACGTACACAGTAAGCCGGGACTCTGGTTGAATCGCCGCACCAGAATCCGGAATTGGTGAAAAGTACCGTAGTTTTAAAAAGTATCGTGGCCAAAAAGAGCAACGTTATCGTCGGCACACTGATGCTCATCGTGAATACAATTCTCGACCCTGACCGTGAACAGAAATTCAAGTTCAATATCACGACGGCTCTCTTGAAATATCGCCCCTGGCTGTGTTCTCTGCCACCCTGTGGTAGACTTAAGCATGTTCAGCTTTAATAATCAAGTTCAGAGCAGCCCCGCCTCCGGCTGTAACCTTTTTTCGGCTAAACTTAACATGCTACTGAGAAAGGAATGGCAGGGAATCATTGAACCTCGTCGATATATTAAAGACACATAGGCCTAATTTAGTCGATAGATAAAAACAACATTGCCTATAACTCATTCTCACGCACTTATTAACTCCATCCTTCAGACTTTTTGTTGATATCTAGGCCTGATACATAACGAGAGTACACAATATTATTCCTGTAAATCGTTTTTACTGTAGGATTATGCATTTCTTTCACTCGCTTCCTCGGCACCCCTGCTGTATACAAATTTCGAACTTGGATCTTTGTGATTTCACTTAAGCCTATAAATACCAAGAAAAGGACTGTTCAATTCCCTTGCAGAATTTTCGACCACTGTATAAAGGGGTGTGATTCCTCCATTGTAGGGAAGGTGTGTGACCCGATGCTCATGTTTTAAGCAGCCCGCCTCTTCGCTTTCACCATTGAAGGGCAAAAGGTGGGGCCCCTTTAGCAAGGCCTAGTAAATATTTAAAAAATAGGTGACACGTTTCTTTGAGCAAATAACCTTTTGCTCCGCGCTACAGGATAACGTCTGTGGGATGCAAGCCCACGGCGAATGTTGCTAAAATTAAAAAACAAAAATAGATTCTACTTAAATCTACATATTAATAATCTATTTTATTTTGTGGGCCATTTGCACAAACCATTATTAAATTGCTGCGGAATCAATTAAAACAAGTGTGTTGGCGTGTGAAGTGGTAAAATGTCGATTGCCATACGGACTCCTAGGAATACGCTACCCACCATGTAGACCTATGTATTAAATTATCCAAAGGCCTCCACTCTTACCTTACCAACATTATTACTCGTACTCATGGGTCGCATTGTATATGGATACGATAGCGTCTTTAATAGCATTAGTAAATTTTCACTATTTGCTCACTATTTGACTAATTAAAAAAATCATTGTTTTCAAAATGGAAACCTACTCACAGTTGGTTCTGGTTCGGGCGACTCCCCATTCTATGAACTCTTTCTCATAAACCAATCTGCCCTCAAACCATCAATAAAGAATTCATATTTACTGTGTATGCTAGACTGTTTCGCCTCCATGGGTTTTGCTTCCTGACCTCCTCCACAAGAGCTCTTGTCATGGGGAGCCCCTTGGACTCCTCATAGAATATTCCCTCAAGGGGTCCTGATTATGGACCTGATTTTAAAACTAAAACTTTACTCGAAAAAGAATGAAATTCACTCTTTTGTATTAAATAATAATAATAATAATAATAATAATAATAATAATAATAATAATAATAATAATAATCGTATAGCGCATAATGCAAGACAAAGCGTCTATGCGCTTCACATCATAAAAATAATAAATAAATAAATAAAATAAATAAATTAAAGGAAATGTGATTGTTAGTATTTTACTTTACATTGGCAATCATTCTGTACTAAAAATCTATGAAATGTATACGGCCCTATTATAGGTGAGTCGAATGGCCGAGCGGTTAGCAGGGGCGCCGCAAGCTATAGCCATAATATCGGCGCTGGTTCGAACGGCACGCTCGCCTATGGTTCTGGTGGTAGAACAAGTCTTCTCGGATAAGGACTATAAACCGTAGGCCCAGTGTATACAATGGCTCGTGTGCACTATAAAGAACCCAGTACATCCTTCGAGACGAGTATGGGGAGAGACGAGTAGGGGGATACCCTGGTGTACTGGAACAGACAGCCCCTGTGGTGGACGACGAGAGTTGCTGGTACCGGGTTACCGGGTAGCACTGACACGAAGGGACCCTTAGGGTCGAAGAAAGTCATTGATCGAGTTCCTAGTCCACATATCAAGCGCTCTGAGCATCTTACATTAGATGGATATGTGCGCTATATAAAACTACTCTATTATTATTATTATTATAAAATGTTTATACTTATACTGTTTGTGCAACAGGACCCAGCGAAACACTACCTCTTAATTGGTTAATTTATAACAAGACTTTTTAGTGCATCTTTTCATTAGTTTCCAGTGAAATGTTAAAACGATGTCATTGCTCTGTCACTAATTTTCCGAGCTGTAAGTCATTTCAATTTTACTGCGGCCTGTTGTCGGTAATTTAAGGTAAATTTGATTTGGATAGCATCCTTACCACAACCTATCTTTAAGTGTCTACGTGGTTTGTCGCTATTGGCTGTCACACGCAATGAAGTTGGTATTAATTGAAACGTGATGAGTGAATCTGCTCTTAGTTTCTATATAGGTCTAATATTATATACCGGTAATCCTTAACTTTATAAAGCCAACATTTCACACTGCCTAAGATTATACAATGTTTTTAACATTATACAATGTCTATTATAGGCCTGTATAATAGGAATGTTATGTAGGGAATACAAATTTAACCTCTTTATATAAAGCAGTATATTACTATGGGTCCTTTACTTGGTTTCTGTCATATCAAATTTGATAAATTCTTTATATGACTTTGGGTTACTGTATACCGTTTTTCCCAAAGTGTCACTGGTCTTAAATGTTGCTAATGATGATAATGATGATGATGGTAATAATAATAATGATGATAATAATAATAATAATAATAATAATAATAATAATAATAATAATAATATAATAATAATATAATAATAATCATAATAATAATAATAATAATAATAATAATAATAATAATAATAATAATAACAACAATGTATGAAGGTGTCAAAGTGAAACTTACCATTTATTTTGTTTTCTCTACTTGCTTCAATATTAGGATAGAACCCGCAAATCAAATTTAGCAGTCATTTAATGTTTTCCTATAAAGATTTGCCATATATACTTCGTGCTTCCGTTACTTCATACTACGTGGGCCATAATATGCCCAGTTTGAGCGATTAGACTTGGCAGGAATGCCATCGCAGATTTTGAAAGTCATGGAAGAGGAGGTGACGGGACACAAAAAATGCATGGCAGATAATGGGTCATGCGTGCATTATTGATGTACGTCGCGTACATCCTTACCAGGGACGAAGTCTTGCTATCCACACACCATGAAATGTTCGACAGGTACATCGTTGGCCATACCCTGTGACGCTTGGACGTGGAGTCTGCACAATGAGCGCACGTGCCTCGTGTTGAATAATAATGCCGATTAAGGAAGGAGTCCTCATGTTTTTATTATTTATATGAGTTGCAGGGTAGGAATGTAAGTTGACGACTTGCTAGTGTATACAAGTAAATTACAAACGAACAAAAATTAAATGCAAATTATAGTCCGGAAAACATTTCAAAATCAAGATATACTGAAGTTGTAAGTTGTAAGTGGGACAACCCAGCCTTAAGTAAAATCTGCAGTGGCGAAAGTCACACTATTAGCGTTTTATTACTCCAATTACTCGTTTCCTTCTCTTCAATTCTATTAGTTTCTCTAATTCTATTTTTTTACATACCCACCACATCAAAAATACTTCATAATGCTTATGTACCCACCATAAAAAAAACTTCATTAATAGTGACCTTGGCGAGTCGCGTTCAATTTTAAATTAAGTCCATTGATATAGACATTCCGGTGTGGATGGTTTGTTTGTCCCGCTCTTTCAAGCAGCTACTAAACTTGCTAGACACCTCCTGAATAACGCAGGGGGATGTAAAAATATCCGTTGTTTGGTGTATCCTTGTGAAGGCCAGCCTGTGTTTTGTCCTCAGGCCATGAAACGAGTGCCGACGCCGCCGGCCTGGTTCAACAATTTCCATTGAAGGGAAGTGGGCTACCCTATAACCGTTTTACTAGAATTTAACAAGGTCTTATTAAAAGCAAATTCACGTTCAATGCCAGTTCTTTATCTTCTTTATCGTCATTGTTCGTAGGGTTGATCGCAAGTCCAGTTCGTTAGTGTGTGCCAGTACCTGTCTCTTATACACATCTAGATGTGTATAAGAGACAGATCTTTAAGTGTCTACGTGGTTTGTCGCTATTGGCTGTCACACGCAATGAAGTTGGTATTAATTGAAACGTGATGAGTGAATCTGCTCTTAGTTTCTATATAGGTCTAATATTATATACCGGTAATCCTTAACTTTATAAAGCCAACATTTCACACTGCCTAAGATTATACAATGTTTTTAACATTATACAATGTCTATTATAGGCCTGTATAATAGGAATGTTATGTAGGGAATACAAATTTACACTACCAAGGCGAGTATCATGCCGTTAACCGCATATCTAACCCTCAGCTGCATGAGATAATGTTTCATCATACTACTATTTGAGTACTGTTATTATTATTTATCTAGCAAGAATAACATTGTTTATTAATTAAATTTTAAAAATAGACAAAATTATATATATATATATATTATTATATATATATGTAATAATAATAATAATAATACTAATAATAACAATAATAATAACAATAATTATTTAATTAAAAGATGATGAGATGATAGCTATTGGGTAAACACAAAATGTATTCAGAACATGAACATTTCGACCCGTCCTCTGGTCTTGTTCAGCATGTGTGTGTGTGTGTGTTAGTCGACGAAGAGGAGGAAATTGGCGAGGGTAGAATTAATCACCTCACTCAACCTGGATTTCAAGCCAGCAGACATCTCAATCAAGTAAGCCACACTGTCGTCTTTATGAATTCGAATCCGATGGGAACAACTCTTTTCATCATCTTTGTAGTAGAACAGATAATATGGTAGTCTTCGATGCACAGACGTAAAACGTGGAACATAGTTTTTTTAATTATTATTATTATTATTATATAATAATAATAATAATAATAATGATTATAATAATTTCTGTTAATAATAATAATAATAATAATAATAATAATAATAATAGCTATTATATAATAATAATAATAATAATAATAATAATAATAATAATAATAATTGTAATAATAATGAATTTACATGCGGACGCATAATAACCTGTGCTTATTTTAAAGCCGGAATTGCAATAAATTTAGGTGATAAATTGTTCTAACAATTTACCAAATAAATATATAACTACATATAAATATTATAAATTGAACAGTCAGTAGAGACACGATTTTGCTAGCCGTGTTTCAATTACAGTAAGGCGCCACAACAAAGTAGTATTGTGACCTGAGGAAGAGTGGGCCATATAAGCATTCATGCTTCACAACGGCCCAAGAATACAAGTAAGAAGGCTTTGTTTATTCTTACAACGCAATATAGCTTATGCCATCATCATCATCAGGTGAGTGATGTAATCACAGCAGCAATGCTGTGGCCAGGACTCGAACCCGTGCTTTCGATCTCAAGCAATCCCCTGGGGCACAGGGGGCAATTAACTTGCTCAGTTATGACAACGACATTGGCCAAAAACCCGCCAGTCTTTTGAATGAAAAGAAAAACCAGATGTCATAAAAATAAGGCTCTATTCATCTGATTTAGCCTTGTCCTACTGTTGCAGCCAGACATCGAAAACAGGAGAAATATAAGACAGGAACGATCCGCTTATAACGTCCCATTGATATTTTCGTTTGTTGAAGGTTCGTTGACTTTTATCCAGGCTTATACCTAATTATCTGATTATCTAACAGATTTGGCGATCATCGTGATTGTGTTAGAATATTTAAACGTTATAATTTGTGTTTGTTTCCATTGTAGGCCTACAACCTTTGGTGATCTAATCATTATTCAGTTTCCATCGGCGTATAAATTAAAATTGACATCATATGAGACTTCTATAGCCTTTTGCATATGACGACGGTAAAATCATGCACTAAAAAACTTAAATTCATTTTGAGAATCTTTAGTCCGGTGATAAAGTCACGTGACTAAAGGGGAACCCACACACCCACACCTAACACCAACACAACTAACCACACTAATAAATCCGTGTTATCCAACACGATCAAGCCGACGTGCAATTGAAACTTTTTTGAAAATTTAACAAGCTAGCTTGTCAACCATGCGTTTATTATATTCCGATTCTAACTAATAGATCTGATAAGTATCAGTTTCGGTAACCTGAAAAGCCTTAACATTTTTTAGCAGTAAAATTTTGGCTAAACATTTTGTTTTGCTATTTTTCAGGGGACAATAATTTTTATATAGGCCTATAAAAAGTAAGGAATTCTTTACATGTTATTGTTCACGTTTAATAACCCAGGCATTAGTCCTTAAACTATGGATGTATACTGTAACCCACTTGACTATAAAAAAATTGTTTCCGTATCTCGAAATATCATTCCCCTCGATTCTCACACACCATTCATGGTGGCGCCCTCGTTAAATTATGTTAGGGGAAGGGGTGCCGTACTCGCGCGAATAAGCGCCCCTCTTAACGTGAAAGTTTCCTTAAGCGCCCCGTTTGAATAAGCGCCCCTAATCATAAGATTTTCTTTTTAGCAAGTCAATAATCCAATCAATTCTTGGACGGTGGTTTTGGCATGATTTGAGCTGCAGTGTGGAATCACATTTTTCCTAGGTCAATATATCAAAATGAGGATATTTTAGACTTTATACACTAGAAGAGTTGATTGATACTTATTCTGTCGATATATCATTTCTAGTGTATGAAGGAATTAAACTGGCAGTGAGGTCATATATGAGCAAGCATATATTAGAAAATTTACAAGCGCCCAATGCTATCCAATTTACCCTAATAATATAACTCAATTACACATTTCTAGAAAGGGATACAACTTTTTTTACCATACTCTGCTCAATTCAAAATTTACTAAGTTGCTGTGTAAGTTTACGGACAAACAGTGGGAGTGTTTAATATAATACCAAATCAAATGCACAGAGAGTATACGGATCTGAAATGGTTGCAGTATAGAATTATACATAATATATTACCAACGAGAAATTATCTCTATAGATTAAAGTACATTGATTCACCATTATGTATTTTTTGTAAGCAATTTCCTGAAACAATTGACCACATTTTTTGGGATTGTGAAAAAATATATAAGATATGGAAAGGTTTGGAAAGTTGGATAAATAAAAACCTTCAAATACAATTACAATTTTCAAAGGAAATTAAAATACTTGGAATGAATGAAAAAAATAATAATTGTATAAATGTTGTTATTATATTAGTAAAGGAAATTATCTATAGAAATAGTAAACAGAAAGTATTGCCATATATAACAAATATAAAGAGAGAAATTGTTAGATACTATGATATTACAAGATATATGTATTTTTCCGCCTGTAATCAAGAGAAGTTCTTTTCCATTTTGGTCTTCACTGCATGTTCTTCTTCAAAGCTTCAAATAAATAATGAATATTTAAATGTTTCAAGTCATGGCCTTACCCTGGCTTCTGGTATATAAATAGTTCACCTAACGTAATGGTACAACAAGTTTTGAATATGAAATACAATATTATATTTTCACTAGTAAAAGAATTTATAAAAATGTTCAATGTTGTTATATGTATACTACTCTATGTATTGAAAAGAAGGGCACTTATTTAATTGTTTTTTGTTTTTGTTTTTTTTTTCATTTTGAATGTAATGTATGATTAAATGAATAAAATGGAAAATAAAAAAAATGAGGATATTTCCTTCGGACAGATGAGAGCTCCGATCCCAACATAGACTATATTTCCAACTTTCCTCTTACATATTTGTCAGCCGATGGCTAACAAGCTAACCACTACCCACCACTACTAATTGTATCTGCTATTTTGCTGTTATGTAAATATTCACAGCATTCTTGTCATGAGCCATGTTCTCTGGACTATTATCTTTTCCGCCTAACCACCATTCGTCCTTATATCATCTTTTTTTCATTCAAAAAGTGCCTCTTGAATTTAATAAGTTCCCATAAGAACCCCTCGATTTTCAACTATTTCCATAAGCTCCCCCTCAATTCCCACTCTGTTTTCATAAGCGCCCCGTTTAAATAAGCGCCCCGTTTGAATAAGCGCCCCTCAGAAAGTGCAAAAAATTTTTTTAAGCGCCCGGGCGCTTACTCGCGCGAGTACGGTATAGTGGATATAGTGTCGGTGGCAAATTATTTTTTCGGGGGGGGGGGGGGGTCCTGTGGTTCTTCCGAAGCGTCAGTCTAGGGTCATGATCCGAACGGGAGGGGGTTGACATAGGGTTTCCGAAAGATGGATGACCCAAAAGGCTTCAGGTTGTGTTTTCGAGTTTGAACACCTGAATTCCGTGTTATTTAGGGATGAAATGGATTGTTTTAATAACACAGACCTTACAGTAGGCCTGTGTCAAAATGTGTATCTAACCACCAACGTTTGACATAGTGGCCTTATTTAACTGTATATCTGACGAATAATAATAATAATAATAATAATAATAATAATAATAATAATAATAATAATAATACTAATAATAATAATAATAATAATAATAATAATAATAATAATAATAATAATAATAATAATAATAATAATAATAATAATAATAATAATATGTCACTAACTTAATATATAGCGCTTCATGCACAATGTCTCTAAGCGTTTCACATTACAATACAATACATATCATCTTGAAGTGGCTTTCTAGAATCGATAGATTGTGAACAAAATATTAATTGATTTTTTTTTCTGAGGTGTTGGAGGGGACGACGCTGGAGGGCGAAAAAGGAGTATTGAACTCCGGGAGGAAAGGTCGTTAATGCTCCTCTACCGACAGAAATGACGTCATTTCATTTATCAATTTACAATGTAAACTGTTAGAATAAATAATACAGTTTATAATAGTTGTATGATTGTAGATAATAATAATGTAAATTGGGATTAAAGGTCATTTTGCTACTGCTTGTGGCAATACCTAACTAGGCTATTAGATATTGCTGATTGTTCGCACCAAAGTGGCTGTAAGTAGGCCTACTGACCCAAGAGGAGGCCTATTATTTGGCTATTAAGTTGACCTATTATTGTTGCTGAATTTAATATCAGTTTACAGCTTGGTTTCTGTATAAGCCTATTACTTCTGATTGTTTTATATTGTAGCTTTTAATCAACTGGTGACGAGTATTTCGATGCCTATTACTCTAATCTGAACAGATTGCATGCGGCTCTGTCGTTCATGAAAGTGGCCACTGATGAGCATTAAAATCGATTGACTCATGCATCCCAGGATGACGTCAACATACAAGAAAAGCTATCCAAACTTCTTAAGCTTTTTGAATTATCGTTATATATTGTTGTATTTGTTTCTAGAGTTGTTTATATTAATCCCCATTACGTGGCAATATCAAGGTAGGCCTCATCATATTATACAAATTTTATGGTAAATAAAGTGATAAGAATTTATACTGTCTCTTATACACATCATAAAAAGATATAAATTATAGGAATAACCGTTTCAACGCTATCGGCGGCATGAAGTATTATTATTCGCTGATTTACATAACACACAAATATTTGCATCGCATTCAATTTTGTAATAATAGTATGGCTGATACAACGATGATGCTAATAAGCTGATATCACAATCATACGGCTTTATAAAAATCGTGTAGTTTATGTGTATGCACATCTTGTCTCAACGTATATTTTCAAAATAACTACTGTAATGATGTTGAATGTTGAATCATGATCAGTTTTCGAGATCAAAGCTTCATAATTTACCGTCTCTTTCAGATGGCATAAAGCTGGTTACCATCCATTTTCCCTCTATCATTGCGCAAAATAGTCATAAGCGCCATTAACATCAATCAGCCAATCAATTAATCAATCAATCAATAAATCATTAACCAACCAATCAATCAATCGATCGAGCAGTCATTTGATCAATTAATTCAATCAGTTAGTCAATCAATCAATCAATCAATCAATCAATAAATCAATCAACACAGTAATATAACTAGAGTAATCACTCCATAGATTGCATACCTCCGCCCTGTGCCTGAATACGGTACCGTACTAACAATACGTAGGCCGTGTATATGGGCGAAACTGCAGCATACCCTCAATGAAATACTGGATCGCCAGTGGTAGTCAGGCACATTATTTTTTTTTATTATTAGTGCTGCAGGATACTCTTAAGAAAATAATTGAATTGCCGGTTTTTTTTTTTTTTGTTTTTTTTTCGAGTGCTAATGGAATACGTGGGGCGATGCCATTACTTTCTTTTATGCTCGAGGGTAAAAAATTGAATTTCAGTGATGAACTTGTCCTTCGACCTTTTCCGAAAATTGAATGGTGTCTTTCATCGATTATTATGTACCATTTCACTATATTTTATTTTATTTGCGTAATCCTGAAAACAGACAGAAAGACAGACAGACAGGCAGCAGTGAATACATAACCTCGTTGGCGAAGGCAATAATAGTAAATAAACATTGAAAGATAATATTCATTTATTATCATAGTGTGTGAAAATTATAAAAATAATGAAACAAACAAATCATCATGGCTACACCCATTATTTAGGCTATATCATTGTAAAGCCGTTTTATTATCATTGTTTATACTATAATAGGAAAACGGTATTGCACATTTAATTTCCTTGAACAATACCTTTTTGCTATCATTGTTTAATATCGAATTTGAAAGTACAATATTGTTCAGCTTGTTTACGAAATCCGATGCAATGACGTTGTGCTATTATTAACTATCCCGTGAAAATAAAATAGGTTCTATTATTATTGTTTATTATTCTACGAAATCAGATGCAATATAAGTATCCAATGAAATTGAAGTGAAATAGCGTTATACTATTACTATTTCTTTATGATGGAAGGTGTAATATCGTTATATATTTAGTGCTTCCTATCAAACAAAGTTATAAGTGCATTATTGTTCTGTGATCCATGGTCAGCCTCGTTCTCACAAAGCCCTTCTTGATATTCGTATTGGTAACACATCTACTTATCTAAAAAGTGACCAGTCAGCTGAAAAATAAGATAGTGTACAATGATAAAAATAGCTTATATTATTTCTACTATTTTTTGTTTACCGTTGTGCTATTATTAACTATCCAATGAAATTAAAAGTGAAATAGTGTTCTACTATTATTATTTCTTATCTTATGGAATGTGTAATATCGTTATATAATTAGTGTTTTCATCAAATAAATTTATTAGCGTGTTGCTAACAATGTGATTGCTAAGAGCGACATTTACTTTGTATGTACGAACAGGAGTAATAACCATTACTGGAATCGTAATTACAAGTTTCTCCATTTTGGCAAGCAGTTTCTGAATATCGACAGTCGCCTTCCGCTGTAATATAAACATTAAACATTAAAAATGTACACTGGCATAAGTTTTTTTCAATATAGTGTAGCCAACTCAACTTCCATTATCTCTTATCATCATTCCACCATCTACCTTACGCCATCCTTCCATTATCTTTTACTTCATCATTTTATCATCTACCGAACGCCATCTTTCCATCATCTACCTTACGCCATCCTTTCATCCTCTCTTACTCCATTATTATATCATTTACCTTACGCTATCCTTGTGCCATTATTCCCTCATCTACCTTACGCCATGCTTTCATCATTTATTTTACTCCATCCTTATATCATCTACCTTAAGCCATTCTTCCATCATCTACCTTACACCATCCTTCCATTATCAAACTTACACCATCCTCATCCTTCCATCATCTACCTTACTCCATCCTTCTATCATCTACTTTACTCCACCATTCCATTTAACTTACGCCATCCTTCCATCATCTACCTTACTCCATCCTTCCATCATTTAACTTACGCCATCCTTCCATCATCTACTTTACTCCATCCTTCCATCATCTCCTTACACCATCATTTCATCATCTACCTTTACACCATCATTCCATCATCTACCTTACTCCATCCTTCCATCATCTACTTTACTCCATCCTTCCATCATCTACCTTACTCTATCATTCCATCATCTACCTTACGCCATCCTTCCATCATCTACCTTACTCCATTCTTCCATCATCTACTTTTACTCCATCCTTCCATCATCTACTTTACTCCATCCATCAATCATCTACCTTACTCCCTCATTCCATCATCTACCTTACACCATCATTCCATCATCTACCTTACGCCATCCTTTGATCATTTACCTTACTCCATCTTTCCATCATCTATTTTACTCCATCATTCCATCATCTACCTTACGCCATCCTTCCATCATCTACATTACTCCATCCTTCTATCATCTACCTTACACTATACTTCTATCACCTACCTTTCACCATCATTCCATCATCTACCTTACTTCATTCTTCCATTCATTTACCTTAGACCATCCTTCTATCACCTACCTTACTCCATCCTTCCATCATCTACCCTACTCCATTCTTCCATTATTCAATCATCTACATTACTCATTTATTGTGTTACTTCATTCTTTCAACATCTACCGGTACCTTTTACTACACCTTTATTTCCGTCATCTACTAGATCTACATTCTATACTCCATCCTGGTAATATCTTTTTCCTTCCTTCATATACTGTAGGTTCTACCTTTTTCTATGCTTTCATCTTATACATAACCTTACTGCATCCATCTATTTACTCCATCCCATCATTGACCTTATTCATACTCATCCCTCCCTTAATTATCTCATTAAACGTTAAATTAGTATAAAAATCTCATCAAACATCATGTACGTACTAAAAAAAATATCATGAACTCTCCACCTTGGTTTGGCTGTATACCTACACACACCAAATGATAATTAATACATGGCACGCGCAATAAAGCAGTGATTTCAAACCCATTCTAGGAACAAATATATCCCAGTGACTAATGTAACCTATATGACCAGCAAACTTAATTTATAATTGTAAAATTAAGCACCAAATACTTACTCGCAGGAACTATCATCAGGATCAACGCGATAACGAGAATGCTGGAAACAAGAAAGCGAATCATCGTGATTTAACCTTACCAATTATTGCGGGAATAGCAGCAGGAATAACAGATTGTGTTGAATTCTAGAGTGTATATATAAGGGAAAATTAAAACAAACTCGTATTTTGTTTGGCAAAGAATTTGTCATATGGTGTTATTTACACCATAACAACCTTATCATATAAAACTCAATAATAAATATTTTAGATAATAACTTAGTAATATTGTAAATGGAATAACCTTTAAAAACAAAATTTATTTTATACATTGATTGCATTGAAAGCATGGAAATATAAATCTCTATTTCTAATACACCTACTACTAACAAATATTTATTATGTGCTTCTGATGATGATGACAATGATAACGACATAATGAGGATGATAACCATGACAACTGTAGTTGGAGATTCATGATGACGTCATAATGATGAGAGTTAAAATCATAATATTATTTAGATTACAAATAACTAAAATCAATATTTTAATACAATGGTAATGAAAAATATACGACCATTTATTTCCGGTATTAAAACTATCATATATTTTATTATTACCCGAAGTTGACATTTAACTATATTGCAAATTACTATCTACTGTTTTGTTTACCATCCACCGAAATTAACGGTGTAATAATAGTTTAGTGCTATGATTGCTGACGTTGATACTGTAGTATTACTGAGGGGTGTATTCAGGATTTTTTCTGGGTGGGTCGTGACCATAATTTTTGGACCTTTTCAGTGGGAGACAGGAAAATCGATTACAGCGCCACCAGCTTGAAGCGGATGGCAGGCTCAGTTTCAGAATTGCTGGAATTGAGATAGATTACGTCAAGCAATTGGCAAGGTCTTTGGACTCATTGCTGGTACTTCATCAATGATTTTTCATTTATGTCATTGTGAAAAAGCCCTAGAAAATAATGTCTTTGGAAAAAATGTGGACCTTTGAAAAAATGGGGGGGGGGGAGGTTTACGACCTTCCCGACCTCCCTTGCATACATACATGGACGATGAGTATGGTGATTATGATTTCTATGCATAATGGTAAAGCCACAGATAATATTTCTTGTTTGATTCTCAGATAATCGAAGCTGTACATCAAATCAATTCCTATGTAAAGGTGGACCATGTATCCCGAGAAACAAAAAATGCGACGGAACGTTCGACTGCTTTTACAATACAGATGAAATATATTGCAATGGTAATTTTTCGTGTGATTGTATCTCATCTCCTTCACGTTTTGCTTAAACGTTTCGATTAATTATCTGCGGAAGGTCTTCCAGTATATAGTCCTACAATGTCCCCTGTACTTAATTCTTCTTATTTTTTTTTTAACCACGTTTATTGAATGAAACAACAATTATTATGAACAAAAATATAGACAAAAAAACAGATAACATAGGGATGCTATTGTTATTAATATTGTTATTATTATAATATTATTATCATTATTATTATATTATATTATTATTATTATATTATTATTATTATTATCATTATCATTATTATTATTATTATTATTATTATTTTATTATTATTAGCTGTGCTATAATATATTTATATTGCTGCTTTTTCTTAATAGATGAGTATACCATATATTTCGATGTCTATTACAACACAGAAATAAAAACAAACGCAACACTCATTGAGCCCTCTGTTGAAAGTGTCGACGCATGTGCAGAATACTGCCTCAAAGAGAAGTCTTTTACATGTGGCTCATTTGACTACTCCAATGTAAGCAAAGAATGCCGCTTTTCGCATATTGGTTCACCAGAGACAAATCAGACAGATGAAGATGACATTTTACACTTTAAGCTAGTTCCTGTAATTGGTTAGTAATTTATGCGTTTTATATTTACATATTTTATTTAAATTATCTGTTTCAATTGAGGTCGATTAACAGTTTCATGACATGACATGAATGCAGGGATCTGGGTCATATTACAATTAAATTAAAATTAGTTTGGTTACGGCAACATGTTAATGTCACCAGGATTGTTGATGTTTGTTTGTTCACATATTAATTTCATTTACACATTTCCAACTTCCATTTCCTGTTACTTGTTTTCTGTAGGCCTATTGAGCTGACATCATGACTGGTGTATTGACACCGTAAACAGAGATAGGAAAAAAATTGTCATTTTTGTATGCCTACCTTCACAAAAGTTGATAACCGAAAACGTTTGCTCATTTGGCCTAATAAATACACCTTGCAACTATTACCATCTATCCCGAGTTCTTTTATTTTTTTACATTGTTTGCCAA